GCTCAGAGCCCGTGCCCCAAGGGGACCCCAGCTGCTGGAGGAAGGCCTACAACTGGTTCTGCGGGTTCGAGCAGAGCACCGGCCCCCAGCTGAGCGCCGAGGAGCAGGCGGAGCTGCAGAGGAAGCTGACCGACACCACCGAGCAGCCGCTGTGGCGGAACGTGGTCAACATCAACGCCATCATCCTGCTGACCGTCGCTGTCTTCTTCCACGGCTTCTTCGGGTAGAGCTGCCCGCGGCGTGGGGGCGTGGGGGCTCTCACCGAGCTGGACCCTCACAGCGCTGGACCCTCTCCGCACTGGACACTCACAGCTCTGGACAGTCACAGTGCTGGACACCCCTGCGCTGGACACCCACGGTGCTGGACTCTCACCGCCCTGAGCCACCATCACCTCCGTCCTCTCTCCTCCCTCTGGTCTGCACTCCCACCTTCTGACAGCGATTGTCATGGCCTTGAGCACCGGTGCAGCCCGACTCCAGGGCCCGGAAGAGAGGGGACCGATCTGGACCGGAGCTGTGGACAAGACTGGCGTGCTACAGCGAGGCCCGGTGACCCCAGGGTGAAGCGCAGAGAGGAACCCGGGTCCTGAGCCCAGCAGCACCGGGCCCGGTGTCTGCTCCCTCAGCGTCCCGCACACGGGCCTGGGTTCTGGTCCCTTCCCCTCCCTCCTGCAGATTAAAACAACTCCCTGGCTCTGGCCAAACTCTAGACACACTTCCAGCTCCTTCCGGGCTCGGACCGTCCGCCCTCTGTAGCCCAGGAGCCCAAGACCCGGCCCGGTCCGGCCCGGTCCGGCCCAGCCCGCTGTCCTCAGGTAACCCCTGGACCAACACAGGTGTCTGTTAGCCTGCTGGGCCCAGGACCCTCTGCCTCTGGGTCCAGAACCCAGACCACCCACGCACGGCCCAACACAAGTCTGGACCGCCGTCAGGGCTTCCTGGACAGCGTGCCGGATCGTTCCGAGATTCCCTCCAGTGCAGCACAGCCCTTTCCCCCGGTAGATTGTTTATAATTAAATGAGAGCGGGGCTTCCTGTCCAAGGAAAGGGCCTGTGGGTGAATGTTCTCGCGTTGAGGACCTGCCGTGTCCCAGTGTGAATAAATGAACTATTTCCTCCGTGGTGTGTGAGCTGTGTTTCTGCTGGGAGGGCGAGTGATGCGCAGGTACGGGGAGATATCTACCCAGAGGACCTGCTGTCTCCTCTGGAGTCCGGGTACGTTCCGGCCCTGCTGGCCCCCCAGCGGCCCCCCTTGTTGCCCCTGGTGCAGGGGGCAGCGCGGCAGCGGGGGGGTGAAGTGGGTTCCTCCTTTTGGAAGGGGCTTTGGGAAACGTCAGGGTGAAAGGCGCTATATACACGCAATTAATGTGAATTATTATTCACAAGTGAGCAGGGCAGCTCTTTATTTTCCCAAGCTGCTGAGCAGTGGAGAGAGACTCCTCCTGGAGAACTGGAATTCTGCCATCACAGGCTGCAGGGATGGAGGGACAGAGAGAGGGATAGAGAGAGGGATAGAGAGAGAGGGATAGAGAGAGGAACAGAGAGAGGGATAGAGAGAGAGGGATAGAGAGAGAGGAACAGAGAGAGGGATAGAGAGAGAGGGACAGAGAGAGGGACAGAGAGAGGGATAGAGAGAGATAGAGAGAGGGACAGAGGGAAAGAGAGGAGCAGGGACAGAGAGAGGGACAGAGAGAGGGATAGAGAGGAACAGGGATAGAAAGAGGAACAGAGAGAGGGAAAGAGAGGAACAGGGATAGAGAGAGGAACAGAGAGAGGGATAGAGAGGAACAGGGATAGAGAGAGGGATAGAGAGAGAGGGATAAAGAGAGGAACAGAGAGAGAAGGAGAAAGAGGGACAAAGAGAGAGAACCAGCGCCCCACCCCATGCCCCTCACCCAGACCAGCAGCTGAACCGGACCAGAACCACAACCCCTCCCCACCCAGCACAACAGCAGAGCCGGACCGAGCCCCTCCTGCAAAGCTACACTGCAGCTCTGGCCAGACCAGCGGTCCCGAGCGGTTCGGAGCTGGGAGAAACCCGGCAGCTCCTGAATCTCATCTGCACC